TGCTGGGACGCGATGTTGGCGAAAACTGGCGTGCACCATTACACGGGGAACAATATCGAATTGGGTACAGCCTGCGGTAAATACTTCCGTGTCTGTACGCTCTCGATCACAGATCCTGGCAATTCCGACATCATAAAGTCCATGCCGACTGGTGATCAAGCGTAATGTACATTTTTAATCTAATAAATAACGAGTGAAAATATGTCGAGCGATTATTTCCAATTTATTTTCGCCCTTAAAATGCAGTATACATATATCTAAAATAATTCTCAATTATATACAAAATAACATTTATATCAATTTATATAGAGATAAAATATTTGATATAACATGCTGTGTATATTTTGTTTAATATAGAGTTAAAACTTTTTGTATATAGATATTTGAAACTACTACTAGGTATATACCATTATTTAATAGAAAATAAGTGAGCGATTACTGTAGATTCGCTACTGACCATTATTACGCCTGCTCGCGCATCGTTCTTCCAAATGATTCGGTTTATTACAATAACGGTATGTTCGACTGCCTCGGGGGTTCCTAATTCATATTTTGCGCCATTTCGCACTGTTTCCAGAATAGAATAATACCGTCGAGCTCCAACGAACGCAAGTACGGTATCAGTTTTCCTCCATATAATCCTGGGAGAAACGTGACTATTCCCGTGAAACGTTGAGCACATATATCTTGTATAATTTTTTCCTTCACAACCAACGCGGGGTCAACGCAATTCATATTTGCGATAGCGATGGACTGGAAAGATTAAATGTACAATTAACTACAAGAGAATTACGCATTTGAAGGTAAACAGTTATATACATACTTTCAAATCGTTTGTATATTTGTCGATGTCTTCGCGGTCTCTTTTTTTATCCCCATATATGCAGTACATATCAAATTTTTTAATTAACACGTTTAAATCCTCCATCGGTTTGGTATCGTAGAAAACAACCGTTCCATGGATTTCTTGGCCAATGGGACCCATATGGTTCAGAAGCATGATACCCAACATTTGTCTCTCGCCTCTAGCTTCGTCAATACTCTTCAAGTACACAAAGAATTTTTTCTTCCATGAAAACCAGGTTGCGATAAAATCATCCTTCGTAGCGAATTTAGGCGGTACTTTTACTGTATCCGTAGATTTGTTAGGCGAGTTTGTTTGTTCACCAGATTTCAGCGGTTTACTAAAGACATTACCTCCTGAAGATTTGTAATACAAAGAATATTTTTTATTACAAAGAAGAACATTAAATTTTATGTTCCACGTATTTAATTTATAATTACCCATTTTTTTACTAATTACTCCAATTAAGTGCGTAAAAGAGATTTTATATTATTTTTTTTAGAGAGAGAGAGAGAAAACCTGCAAAAAGCAAATGTTTTAACACCGTTGACGAAAAAGAAAGAAAGTAAAGATCACTTTACAATACCACGTACAAATATCTCACTTATAATAATAAATATTATACGCAATTTAATAACGTCCAACTGTCAAACGTTCTCCTCACTGCGATAAATATATTTATCCCATGTTGGTGAATGGTGGGAATTCACTATTTTCTTTGTCCTGCTTGAAAGGACCTTATCTTATTATCACGTTTATCTGTATACAGATCTGTATACAGATAAACGTGATAATAAGATAAGGTCCTTTCAAGCAGGACAAAGAAAATAGTGAATTCCCACCATTCACCACGGACATGTGAAGGCAAAGGTCTGAATACGTGGATAAATTTTCAGATCGTCGAATTACCTGGAAATAATTGTAAAACGCTGACCTTATCAATTACTTTTGACGAACAAAGAAGTAATTGTGTTAGGTCTGGCTGCACTAATTCAGGAGCTTGATATCGAATCATTCGAAAGAGAAACGTATGCAAAAATTCTGCTCTTACAGAAAAGTTACAAGTTGATTGGCTAAGAACCATTCAAAAATCGAACTCCAGATTGGCGGTCGCTTTGCAACTAAAGCCTCCGCTACAATGATTCTCGGTTCTGTCTACAATGGTCGTAGTCGTAGTCGCTCGATAAGGCCCGGTCTACAATGAGTTGTTAGTCGTTAGTCAGAAGTCGGAACTATATGTCGGTCCTTTTTCTTCCACCCAGAAAGGAAAAGGATCAACATATAGTTGCGACTTCTGACTAACGATTAACGACTCATTGTAGACCGGGCCTAAGAATTGACCAATCGCAGTCGATTATTCTTACGACTACGACCATTGTAGACAGAACCGAGAATCATTGTAGCGGAGGCTTAATGCGGGGTCTACAATGCGAGTCGTAGTCGTAAAAATAATCGACTGCGATTGGTCAATTCCGTCAGATACATAAGAATAGACCAATCACAGTCGACTATTCTTACGACTACGACTTTACGACTTCTATGTAGATGAGGCTTTAACAAGAGAGTAGAGTGAGGGGGATTTAGAGGAGAGGGGAATCGAATTAGTAATTTTTATATACATATTTTTTTAGAATTACTTAAACGGTCATTATTTGTATTTTGTTGTAAAAAAATTGTTCAGAATATCACGAGACACAAGTTGAGCACTTAAACATATTTAATTATGGCTGGGACGCTTGATCTTTGTGTAAGCCGTGACGAAGAAAATATTTTTTCGTTACTTTCAGTTGCATATTTATTAAAATACCTTTTTATAAAATATAAATATACAAGTATCGTAACGGTCCTCACTCACACTTATGCGTACACACACACACACACGCACGCACGTGCACGCGAAGATTAATAGTAACTTATAATTGTAAAAATATAATTTTACAATTACATACTTATACATATACACAAGATAATGAGGTAAAAAAATACTATTTTGCACATAAAAAAAATACCTTTGCACAATGATTGTTTTACGAACCTATCGAAATGTTACATAGCTTGCAATCGGCTCGTAAAACATTGTAATTGCACGAAAGTTTCTCGACATAAAATTATTATAAAATATATTTATAACTTATGGTGTAGATTGATCTGACGATGGAGGAACTGGTGGGGTCCAATATGTTCTGGTCGGCGGCGGCGGCGGCGGCGGCGGCGGTTGTATATAGTTCGAATAAGAGAGCGCATCAGTTACGTACGGATAAGACGTACTCGGAAATTGATCGAATGGGACGACATTCACCATTCCGTTTGCGGGATTGTACAAAGGCGGAGGATAATCGAGGGGGAATTGAGGAATTTGATTTTGCGTACCGCAATTCGGGTAACAACCGATTCGCTTCGGCCTACCGGAGAAGCCGGTATAGCCGGTATCACATGGAGATGAATATTGCCTCCCATATGACCTGTTGGAGAGCGGACGCACGTGCGGCGGAGCTTGCTGCCAATAAACATTATTTTGATGATGGTGCAAAGGTGGATTATAAGGGTAAGGCCGTCTAATGGAACAAGCCATTCCTCCCGCTTCCTGATATCGCTTTCCCGGCTGGCCATAATTAAAAGGATCAAAATGGGTCCCCGCATTGTTTCTATTGTCGTTCCACGGATGTTTCGATCGCCAGTCCGTTGCAGATCCTAAAAATTTATTAGCAATAATTATTTACTTGTTCGCTTATAGTTACTGTAGCAAATTAATTTGAGACGCTCACCTGTCCTAGGTTTTTTATGCGAAGTGTTGCCGGCGGAACAACTCTTGTTACTCTTCTGCTTCAGCGCTTCATAATAATCACGTTCTTTTTCATCGTCAGAAAACTCAGGTGACTCATCGTCGCCAACCGCGTCGCAAGCTTTTATCCTGCGAGAAAACGTTCGTTTGAATTTGTTGCAATCACATATAACGTATGCTACATTTGTACAAAGTACTAACTTGGTCAACTCGTTCAGGAAAACTACATTCGTGTATATTTGATTCGACGGGCAATAATAAACTAGCATGTTCACTTCAATACCGCTGTTCCGTATATGCTCAGCATCGTTGAAGCGAACGGAGTAACGCGGCTCTTTCACGGGGCCGAACACGTCGAATATTTTACCCAGCGTTTTTGATCCTCTCTTCACGAATAACACCGTGTCCATATTAAGTATAGGCTGGTCAGGGTTTGGCTTTACGATGACAAATTGTTCCACTATCTTTTCGATCTGAAATATTCAGATACACGAGACTTTAACATTCCAACATTTAGAAGTTACCGTTTGCTCCTATATTAATTTATCTTACAATTTTCTAAACATATACGATATAAGTTTATATTGTGATAATACCTCGCCTAATATATTACATAAAACTTCGGGAATGGTAATTTGTAACTCTTCTATTGGTGGAAGATTATCAAATTCATTTGGTACATAGTTTCCCTTCTTCGCTGAGCCCGCCTCGCTTGTTCTCTTTCTAAAAGTTAACATGTACAAAAAGTTTATTATTTCCGTTCATAAAAAGTGATTATACATTATAATTTTATTTTCATAGAAAGCTATGTACCTGCTAGCACTTGCAGTATTAGCTGAATATCTGTCACTGCTACTATCGCTGCTGCTGCTGCTGCTGCTGCTGCTGCTGCTGCTGCTGCTGCTGCTACTGCTACTACTACTTTCGGTATCACTGGTACAATCATCTTCGCTATCACTTTCACTTAATGAATCTTCTTGAGTACGATATTGCTGTAAATTTTGTATCTGTGTCTGTGACACCTCATTTGGAATTTCAGTAGAATCTGGCGTCTCAGATGTATCTGAATCAGTATCGCTATATTGTATAGCAAGAATACTAAGAGAAGACATTCCACCGTATTCTGTCAAACAGAAGACAAAAATTAATCATACGAAAGTATTCATCAAAGTATAGCCAATGGCACACGACACTATTTTTCCTACTAGACCTAATAGAACTTGATCCAAGTTCCAGTTCTGAGCAATGTGTAGCCAATGAACTTGCAGCTTTTATGGAATAGCTGCAAGTTGATTGGCCACATATTTCTCGGAACTAGAACTTGGACCAAGTTCTAGCATCGTGGACACAGGCCTTTAAAGCCAAACCCTGATTGGCTCTCGTAGGCAATCCAGTAGGAAAACTAGTATCGTGTGCTGTTGACTTTAATCCCGATTGTATCTCTCGTAAGCAATGCAATAAAAAAAATAATATCGTGTGCTGTCGGGTTATCTTATAATTGAAGCCAGCGGAACACGATACTTTCTTGCCTGCTGGTTTGCTTGCGTGTATTTTTGCTGGCTAACGAGAGCCAATCAAGATGCAATCTTAAGGCATCTGACTTATTACGTGGAATCCTGGACCGGCTCTCACCAGCTAGTGAAGGTGCACGCAAGCAAACCAGCGAGCAAACGAGCATTGTGTGCCGCTGGCTTTACTATTTTATGCGCATTATAAGAAGAAATGGATATTCTGGAAGAGAAATTTTTATCTAATAAACCAATGTGCATTCGTGCCTACCATGCTGCTGCACCGATGGACTGTTCATCTGCGTCTCGTCGTTAGAAATTATCATTGCATCTCCAACATGGTTAGTTACTTCATCAGTCGACAAAGCAGTTGTTATTGCTGCTGGATCGCTTGGTGAAGCTTCTTGTCCAATATCAGATATATTTTCGCCGGCAACTGCATGACTTTCGCGTGCAATTGTCTCGGTGGCTTCTTTCAGAATTGCCGGTGCGATATCTGGAGGGTGGGAGGTGAATACGGCAGAGTCAATTGCAACTCCTGTCTTCTCTGGGTCCAACATCGATGTGTTAATCTCATCGCTTTCTATAATTCCTTCCTTTAGTGTTTCCTTTATCTTGGCAATTGCAGCTCTTTCTTTGTTCTCATATTTCTTAATAGCTAACCATTCCTTGTGTTTCTCCGCCATTCGTTTCTTTAGCAGCAACGTCTCGTGTTCTATGTCTTTTAGCAACTTATCCTTGAACACGCTTTCAAAAGTTACGTCTATCTCTTCTTTATCTTGTTCTGACGTTGACACGTTTGCCTCTTCGCCAGCAACTTTACTCGCATCTGTATCCATCGTCACGTTTTCATCCAAGCCCGGTTAGATTCTACAAGATATTTTATATAAATTTAGATATTTCTTCAGTTTAGCTGCAGCAACTCGATGAAATTAGCCTCAATCGACGCGTTTTTACGCGAAACGAAAGTATCTGGCGGAAAAACGTGTCGCTCTGACCCCGCGAAGCGAGATAATTAATTGTTAAAGTTGACAATTTTATTTAGGGTTAAGAAATCTGTCACACAGAGTTCAATGCAGAGTACTTTCTGCTTTACTAACCAAGAATACGCTGTACTTTGAATTTATATATTATATTGTATTCTGAAGCAGAGAACATATTCTCTGCTTTAATTAAAAGTTCACTTTGTACTTACACGTGACTAAAGAAGAGAATATATTCCACAGCACAGAGCCAGTGATGGGAGATTGCAAGAATTCGTCTGCAACAGGAGACTTCGTGCGCATGCTTGAGGTGACGTATAGCGGCTCGAATCCAATGGCGGATGTAGGTGTCGTAAGTTTCTTAACCCTAAAAGTGGTTAACTTGAACAATTAATATCTCTGCGTGACAGAGCGACGCGTTTTTCTGCCAGATTCGTTCGTTTCGAGTGAAAACGCGTCGCATGAGCCTAATTTCAGATTTCGGAGGTGCTGTAGCTAAACTAAAGAATTAACATATGACCACGTGCGAATCTTGTCTCATATGTGTGTGTGTGTGTTTACAGCGCCACAATTACTCTACTCCCAAAACTAATATAAACAGGTTGAACTTAATATTTTATAATTAATAAGCTAATTGTAAGTCGATTTAAGACATAGTTGCTTCAAGTGCTTACTAATGTATCTCTCGAAAAGAGCTTCGCAGTCTTCTATCTTCTTTAGAAGAACAATACGGCCAGAAACAAATTCAAATAAAAGAAAACACAACAATGGATTTAGGAGAATGGAAACCAGTTGCCGTAAGCGCAAGTTCTTCCCTTCTGGGTCGGTCTAAACGCTCCGAGCCGCAATCACGCTTCCCCAACCAAACTCGAGTGACCTTTTCAGACTAGTTACAAACAACCCGAACTCAACAGCGTCTTCTGACTTTTAAGGCCAATGTCCACGATACTAGAACTTGATCCAAGTTCTTGGATTGAAAAATTTGTAACCAATCAATTTGTAGCTTCTACGGAAAAGCGGCAATTTTATTGGCTATACGTTTCTCGGACCAAGGACTTGGACCAAGTTTTAGCATCGTGGACATTGGGCTTTACAAATGAAGCAGCTCCTCTACTTTTCCGCTACCTGAGATCGCTTGCTCCTCCCTTATAGCTAGCGAGAGCTAATCAGGATGCAGCCTTGGGTCACCTGACGCATCCTGATTGGCCCAGATAGCACACTGAATTCACAAAGTATTCTTTAAGTTTTCTTTTTTCATGAAAAGAATTTTAATTCTTTAGGAATTCATAGAAGAATACAATAAGAGTGACAGAGGAAGTTACATGCACCATAAATCGTTTTCCTGACAACTTCTTAAAGTATTCATCTCGAATTCAATAAATGTAAACTTTATGAATTCAAGGGGAATAGTGTTAGAACAAAGAGGATTACAAAATATTTATCCAATGTATGTACACATCTAATATGCAGTAACATTACACCATTATTATAATTTCTCACTCAACAATGATATACTCTCAACCGAAGCTCGTTGACAATCGGATGATTCTTCCGTTTCGGTTCTCGTCGTTCGATTCTTTCTTTTACACAATAAAACCATTGCACAAAATTAATTGCACATAACGTTACGCACACAAAATATTGCACGTGGTAACACGCTGCACAAGAACGTCCGGATGGCGGTTAGCGGATACTCGCGCATATATGACAAATAATTCCTCATAAATTCTTAAAGTATTCACAGTACTGAATCGCGAAGTATTCATTATAATGAACTTCAGAAGAATACTTCAAGGCAAACTGATTGAGACTAATTCTTCAAGAATTCTTCAGATATTCATTTTTCTAATTCTGTATGTTTTCTTTAAAATGAATTCTCTATGAGCTTATATATGTTCATCTTTGTGCTATCTGGGTATCGGTCAGTGAAAACGCAGGAAAACAATTTATCGAACACGTGTGCTGCTGGTTTTATGAGTCTGCGTGTAAATTCCAGGAGAGAGAGAAAAGAAAAAGTCGAATATAATATATTCGATAAATGGTATATAACATTAAAATTAAATTATTTACAAAGTAATAAACCTCGACTATACACTATAGTTGCTTTCCTTTTACATGAAAACTCAGATAAATTTCACTTGTGACGTCATAACTCAGTTTAGAGCTACTAGATAAAGGGGAGCTGACTCGTCC